AATAAATAAATAAATAAAGCCCGCTCCCTGTCAGGATTTGTTCCTTTAAGTGAACAAGGGGTTAAATTTAATATTGTAGTGAGAATGCAAAGTCATGCCTGTAACCTCAATTCAATGGATAACTGATAGCATACAGATGGGACAAGCTTAGGTAATGCTTGTCAACCACATTCAGCTGTTATGTCTGCAGTGATAGGCTGTTTTCACTATTTAAGTAAGAGAGTGAGAACAGCACTTTGCCACTTAGTTGTGAGTCTGGTTGTCATTACTTTACTTCTGTGAATGTTATGTTGCTCTGAGATATCTATGCCTATGTATATATTGCCATGTATATATGTCTGACTAAGTCTAATATATTATGGTATGTCTTATCAGAACTCTCTCCATGTATTTTCTCATATGTTGGCATCTATACTCTGCTTATAAAGGGGACAATTTGAAGCTACCAGATAAGAGACTCCGTGTAACTTGTGATCTTGGGCTCCAAGGTTTGTTTCCCCTAACAGAGTGCTCTTGGAAGCTTCATTATCCAAATCTGACTCCAAGCTTCAGGAGAGGCAATACGCCATATCAAGCCTCTGGAGTTGGACCCGCCAACGCTCCCGGGGTCTCATGATGCCATTTATTTTAATAAGACACCCACTTACTGTATGTAAGCATGTAAACAAGAGGAGGCATCATGCTTAGTTCTTACACTGTCCTAAAGGCATTTTCGAGGCAGTAATTTTTAAAGCACAGAAGGAGAACTTTCATTAACAGGAAGTTACCTTATCTTTCAACATGAAATCAAGGTCCTTCTGAAGCTTCACAACTTGCTTTTCAGACTCAGACAGCTTTTGAACCACTTCAGCAATTTCACTTTGGAGGCGACTGTTTTCCTTTAGATACACATAGACACACCAGAAGGGAATTGAAAACATGTCTATAAGCTAAAAAAAATGATGCTGTGATCCTGTTTTTCAAGTTACTGTACAAAAGAATAGCACAAACAATGATTACACATGTAAGGAAAAAAAACAAACACCTAAATACAACATCCCTATCAGAAATATATCACTTCAGAATGAAGTGTATCAAACAAGCACTCAAAACAGAACATTACGACAGAAAGAGTGCCCCTCTGCATTATATGTTAAAAGGTAAAGGCAAAGGTTCCCCTTGGGTGCCCCTCTGCATTATATGTTTAAAGGTAAAGGTTCCCCTTGACAATTTTTGTCCAGTCGTGTTCGACTCTGGGGGGCGGTGCTCATCCTCGTTTCCAAGCCATAGAGCCAGCGTTTTGTCTGAGGACAATCTTCCGTGGTCACATGGCCAGTGCGACTTAGACATGGAACGCTGTTACCTTCCCACCGAGGTGGTCGCTATTTACCTACTTGCATTTGCATGCTTTCGAATTGCTAGGTTGGCGGGAGCTGGGACAAGCGCCGGGAGCTCACTCCGTTGCGTGGATTCGATCTTATGACTGCTGGTCTTCTGACCCTGCAGCACAGGCTTCTGCTGTTTAACCCACAGGGCCACCACGTCCCTTTTTATATTACTGTATTCCCAGAATGGAAGGTTCTTGGAGTGTGAAACTGGGCAAATGAGCATGTAATCTCCTTACTCTTGCCTTCTGAGGTGACATACTGTATTCCCAGGGAGGGCGCACCAGACCTAAGTTCCAAATGTCTATAGACTAACTCCAAATCTGGTGACACACCATCTTGGAGCCCTATCACTAAAATGGTGCCTATGTTGCAATTCTGCAGAAATACAGCAGGTAGAATTCTGGAGGAGCTATGCAGGAACCTCAATTTTGATTTAAACAAGAAAAAAAAGCACAAGTGCTTAGCCCTCCTTTTTTGAGCCATGCATGTATGTGATACTGTACAGGCAGCCAAAAGACCAAAAGTCAAGTCCTATGTGACAGACATCCTATCATTAGAACCTGAAATCGGTGAGCCTTGCTGAGGCCTGATCCAGGCAGACCGTCAAGACTGGGGGGACCATATTTGTAAACAAAGCCTGGGCTTCCCACCCACTGGCCAACCACAATGCAAAGCAAGCTAATCTAAAAACCACAGTAAGTGCTAAAATCTTTTTTCATGAAGATGTTCCCAGCACTTCATACATCCCCTCTTCAAATGATGAATTATCTGTAACATACAGTTCAGCCCTACTTTGATTAACATGTGCAGGGTTCAGGAAAAGGTTAATTATAGTCCTGTATGGGCTCTTGGTTTTGTTTTGCTGCTTTCGTGCTGCACAAAGTAGATCGAGCAGACAAAAGAACACATAGATCTACATTATGCAACTTAATTCAGCTTTCCCGAGGAAGAGCTTTGATTTGAAGTACAGAATACATACATTTATTTAAAAAAAAATATCTCTATGCCACCTTTCTCCCCAAAAGGAACCCAGGTGGCTTGCATCGCTAAATAGACCCAAGTCCTGCACAGCGACAGGTCAGCTTTGTGGAACTCACAAGTTTTGAATCTTTACCTTGATCACCAAGGTCAGCTTTTCCCTCAAACTGCACTCTTCCTCTTTAAGAGATTTGATTTCTGCTTCTAATTGGGCTCCCTGAAGGTTTGCATGTTGCAAGAGCTGCTCCCTTTCTAGGGCTATTTCAGACTTCATAACAGTCAGCTTTCCTTTGTAATCTTGCTCAAGGTCTCTGCAAAACACAAATATTCTTTCTGGTATTCGTAGGCACCGTCATGATCAAGGACTTTTGTAAATAAAGGAATGTGAAAATATTCATCATACAAAAACACAAATATGGACTGTTATTTAAGAATAGCTCAGTGGCTTAAGCATCTGGATGTGGAGCTGGAGTTTGGAAGTTTGATTCCCCACGGTACCTCCTTGGCAGGGACTGGACAGGATGATCCATAGGATTCTTTCTAGTTCTAAGATGATGATTATAAAAAAATATCCATCAAACACACCTTGATCTCCACTGCCATTCTACACAGCAGCAGATGAAGAAATTGCTACTTCTTCCATTTTTTCAGAAATTTCAACCCTTTTTCAATTACCGCACCCAGAATTTGAAATTAGAATGACAGGATCAACTAGTTTAGACATAAATAACTAGTTGTAAAATCCGTATCAGTGTAGGCACAATGTATACAAAAAAATTACAAATGGCGAGTCCTCATATCCCTTACAATCAGAACAGAAATAAAGAAGGAAAAATATAATAGCAGCACCTAATACAGAGTTTTAAAATTGTATTTGTAAGAAATTTGCTTTTTTTATACACCAGAATGCACAGTCAATGTTATGCTGCTCCACTGTTGTTTATACTTCTGCATAAAACATAATGAGAAAAGCAGCTCCACTAGATTACAGGGCTGTCTATTTCCATTCCCCCTCCTTACATATGCAAAACATTTGCCAAAACCCATCAGGGAAAGATACCAGAAGGCTGGTTCACATACCTGAGTTTACTCTCATTGTGGTGTTCCAGAGCACTATGGCTGTCATCCATCTCTTTAGAAAGTTGCAAGTTCCACTTTTCCACTTTCTCTAATTCGATCCTGGCTTTGTCTCTCTCAATGGAGAACTGTTCCACTTGAGCTCTGTGAAGGTAATGGAAAAGTCTTACTCAGTGTCTAGAACTAGGGCAGACAGCCTCAGTAAGTCAGGGGGACCCAAATTCCACCCTTGGGGCTCAGCTCCATAGTTGACAAAGATATGTGAGAAAATCTCAGAAGAATGAGTAAGTATACACAAATGGATCTACATCAGAGATGACGAAAGTACAGAGGGATTCATGAGGCCCTTGGTCGCACAGTGCAGCATCTTAGGCCTCTTCCCACACCCACCAAACTGTGCCCCCAAATAGCAAATTTGCCACACCAAGAACCCCAGGATGTTATTTCCACCAAGCCCCAGCTACCTGCATGATCATACCTGTTTCAAGCAAAGAAATGCCAGGTACCCCTCAAATGCAAAGAACTAAAATACAAAGGACTAAATACAGAAAGGGAAAGAAACCCTAACAGACCTACAGGTATTGAGTTCTTTAGAATCTTCCATACTGTGTTACAATATGGTTATCTATATTTCTCAGAGGACCTCTCACGGTCTATAAATGCTAATATGCTGGTGAAGAAGGCGCAGAAGAGGCTGTACTTCCTGAGAGTGCTCAAGAAGATAAATCTATCTCAGCTTTTACTTCTGTCCTACTATTGTAGTAGCATAGAGAGTGTCCTAACATATGGCATCCTCTTGTGGCATGGGAATTGCTCTGAAATGGATAAAAAAGTTTTACAGAGAATTACTAAAATTGCCCAAAATTCATTGGACTTCAGCTTCCAACCTTGGACAACACCTTTGCATCTCACTGCTTGAGGAAGTCCTTAAATATTCTCAGAGACTCTTCCCATCCTGCTTATAATTTCTTTGAACTGTTGCCTTCCGGCAGAAGGTACAGAGCGATTAAAACTCAGAGACATGCTTTTGGAACAGTTTTTATCCTAGAGCTATAATTGCGCTTAACAAGGAACAGGAACCTAAGAATCACCAGCAGTGAGTTGTTGGACTGTATTATTATTACTTGATTTGTTGTGTTGCATGTTGTGAGGATACTCTGAGCTTTAGGCAGAGTTCTGGGATTTAGGGATTGTTACAAGGATGTATGTGTGTTTTTGGTCTAAGTGTTCTTTGTGAATTTCGTTGTATGTGTATACAGTGTATATACATTCAATGACAAACTGAACTGAATTGAACACCTGTGAATGCATGGCAGATACTAGTCTATCCAGAATGTCTGTTACATCCATCCATCCAATGCCATGTGGAAGCACTTCCAGTCTAGCCAGAACGTCTGTTACATCCATCCAATGCCATGTGGAAGCACTTCTTGGCAATAGTGTGCCACACATGGTTGAAGTAAGTCAGGGTTAACTTACAGCCAGGGGAGATTAGGGACACATATGGGCCCTTGGGGAAAAGCGGAGCTCACTAAGACTGTTTTTTTTTTCCTGCAGCTCCAAGCTCTATTTGGGGCTAAATAAATAAATAAAATGAATGGATGGTCCTGGAAGGATGTAACTGTGAAACTAGAAGTGGAGTTCTAGCTAATTCTGGTTTCATGTTTTATATTCTGGATGGTTTTTGGCAGTCTTTACAGTCTCCCAATGGCCTCGGGGCCATAAAATTCATCCCTGTACCCACCAAAGTCAATCATCCTTAGTCTATGCTTGTGTGGATATGCCATAGAGCAATTAACTGCATGGTGCCTGTGCTTGTAATCAAAACCCTCACCAGGACAGAAGGTCACAACCAAGTGGATAAGACTGTTCAAATCATGACCCCAGTACATTCACACACATCTTGCAGCTCCATAACACTGCATTTCAGGAAAATGGCGACAGATCTATGAAAGGTTTTGAAGTTATTCTCCCACCCATCCCGAAAAGCCAAAGCAAGAACTAGTTACTCCAGATGGTGGATTTCATGTTTACAGGTGGCAAATGCTGCCTGATGGAGTCCATTCTTGGAGGCCATTAGCTCATTCTCGAGGGCCACAGACAGTTCCAAGAGGCCAACTCTCTCTTCCATGCTGAAGTCGTATTCTGGAGCGTTTTTGGCAGTCTGTCCAGTCTCCCGAGGGCCCATAAAATTCATCCCTGGACCCACCAAAGTCACTCATCCTTACAGTCTATGCTTGTGTGGATATGCCATAGAGGAATTAACTGCATGGTGCCTGCTTATGTAATCAGAACCCTCACCAGGTTGGAGAGTCACAACCAAGTGGATAAGACTGTTCAAATCATGACTCTAATACTTTCACACACATATTGCAGCTCCATAACACTGCATTTCAGGAAAATGGCAGATCTATGCAAGGAGGTTTTGAAAAGTTATTTTCCCACCCATCCCGAAAAGCCAAAGCAACAGCTAGTTACTCCAGATGCTGAATTTCATGTTTACAGGTGGCAAATGCTGCCTGATGGAGTCCATTCTTGGAGGCCATTAGCTCATTCTCGAGGGCCACAGACAGTTCCAAGAGGCCAACTCTCTCTTCCATGCTGAAGTCCAAACTCTAGGGAAAAAGACAAACAACTTCTCAAAATCTAGGGAAAATTAAATTGATACCTATTTTGTTTTTAAGATACCAGGTTCTTAGATTGGCATTATCAATATTTGTGTCATCTCAGTACAGTATGTACTTAGCTCTCTATACAGACTTGGATTAACACCGTATAAACAAAAACAGTGATAGCCGAACTGCATGTTGGGGTAGGGTGATACCTTTAGAGGCCAACCAAAAATATGTTAACATGTACAGAAGCTCACAACAATGTACACAATTTCAGGAATATTTTCTCTTCACCATTTGAGATGTTGAAAGCAGGCAGCATGGGGTGTGTGTAACTGAATGGGAATAAAAGGGAGCAGGAAACGCTGATCTCAGATCCGGAATGAGTCTCTGTTGTGTTGTTGGTTCACCTGGGGTAGTCCGCAGACTCATCGAGGACTAGAAAGTTAGAAACATGGGTCCTCCATGCTAAACAATCAAAGTCTTTCATGGCAAACCCAAAACTGTATCCTTCCCATTTGAGCATATAAGCTGTTTTGTTTGGTGTGCTGCATCCTCGACCACATCTTGGAACACAGACCGGAAAGACCACCCTTTGCCACCTCCTCTTCCTCTTCCCCTACTGCTTGCTTTTAGTACCTCACCTGGTGAAGGAAGAACATTTCTGAAAGCTTGTGCATTTTTATATGTCTCTGAATACCTTTAATAAATTTCTGATAGGTCTACAAAGGTATTGTCTCAATAAGGATGTACTGGACAAAATTGTAAGGAGAATGGTAAAACAGATTTTTAAAAGGCTAGCTGACCACATAAGGTACAGAAATGGTGCTTGAGAAACAGTTTTCCAAATGAGGAGTTTAAATAGAGAAATGCTTTGAGAAAAAGGATGAACACTCTTTAGTAATGATAAAGATAATCATGTGCTATCATTTCAGGCTTATGGGAAGCCTTTTTAGCATTTTCCAAGTAGAGAATATTCAGAAGTGGTTGATCATTCCCTTCTTCTGAGGGCGCCCTGGGACTGAGCAGCTTGGCCGAGGCCACATGGGCTTGCTCTTCTCCCTAGATACACAGTGGGGAATTGAACTCCCAACCCAGATACCTAAACTACTGAGATAATCTAGCCAGCTAACACTGTTTAGGATATCAGAAAGATCTTGACAGAAGACAAAAAAGCAGAGATGCTGGAAGAACTAGTAGGAGGAAATAAACCCAATTACTAGAGGGCCAGCCCAAGATACTCTGCAACCCATTCAAGCAAACTGGCAATTTAATTTTTCTTTAGTACCAGCACCCGGGCAGCATTTTCCAATGCACCTCAGTAAGCTGTCTTAGGCAGTGTAGAACACTGACACACAAACTTTCTTTCCAACATTTTGTCTTTTCCTTTCAGCATCTGCCTCCCGAGGTGATTGTTTCAGTCTTCCTAAGTTAGAATTGCCTCTAATATATATTGTTCTATATATAAAAAAGGTTCCCCTTGACATTTAATCCAGTTGTGTGCGATTCTAGGGGGCAGTGCTCATCCCCGTCTCCAAGCTGTAGAGCCAGCATTTTGTCCGAAGACAGTTTCCATGGTCACGTGGCCAGCGCAACTAGACACGGAATGCCATTACCTTCCCACCAAGGTGGTACCTATTTATCTACTCGCGGGACAAAGAGGGAATAAAGTCTCCTATTCTCAGAGCAAGTGCTCAAACATTTAAAAGTATTATAAAAATCAGACCCATGGCAGATGCGTCTACTAGGCTCATTTACACTTTCTTCCTTTTGTCCCTTCAGTTCAGGGCGAGAAATGTTCTGTTTGAGTCACACATAATTCCCAGGGACCTAAATGGGGCCCCAACATCTCTGCCCCACCGTTCTTTATATAGTGTATCTCAATTTATCTATCAATAGCAGCCTAAAATATGAAGAAGGGGCACTGTCCTACTTTCCTCTCTAACTCATACAAAGACACAGCAGTTCAGCAACTGGGCTTTTTACTGCCAAGCAGCAAGAGGAAGAATCTTATTTTCGGACAAAGAGGGAATAAAGCCTCCTATTCGCAGAGCAAGCTCTCAAATATCTAAAATGTATTATAAAAATCAAACTCATGGCAGATGCATCTACTAGGCTCATTTACACTTTCTTCCCTTTGTCCCTTCAATTCAGGGTGAGAAACATTCTGTTTATGAGTCACACATAATTGCCAGGGACTTAAATGGGGCCCCAACATCTCTGCCCCACCCCTGAATCCTCGCACCTCAAAAAGTCTGAAATTTTTAAAAATAAAAATAATAAAATATTTAATAAAATTATCTTTGTTTGAAAAAGTCCCCTTGAATCCTCTCGGCTAGGGGCATGGGGAGTATGTTCTGAGGACCCACAGCACTGCTGAATCTCTCTATATTCCTATTTTTATTTTGGTAGCCACTAGAAAGTGTAAGGAGAATTTTTAAAGTTAAAAAAATTGTAAGAAGAAATTTCGGGGTGGAGGTCAGGGGAGCAACCTTTCAAAGTCCGAGAATGAGCTGCCCCCAAACCGCTTCTGCTTTAAATTCTCAAACAAAATGTGGTCTCTTCACATCTTTCCATCATCCTCTATCCCTGATAGCTTATAGTTCTTTATGAAAACCAACATGGGGTTAATGTATAGGGTTAAAGAGGAACTATAGAAACCTTCAGAATCTCTTTGCAGTTTTCAACCCCTTCCTGAGCCCAGATGGAAATAACTTGCTCAGGACTTGCAAAGCCAGTGCCGTCATCAATGCTGGAGAAGAGATTCAAAGCTGCGCAGCCAGATAAAAAAGATGGAGTTGCACTTCGATGCCCAGTCTCTTCGAATATCTAGAAAATGAGACATAGGCAGAGAGAGAAGAACCATTCAATGTTTGCAAAACATGAAAAACCTTTTAAAAGGTAAGAAACCATGGACAATCCTAATATATTCAAACATTATGTAGAATGTTCAGAGCCACATGGGTTTGCATTTCCAAAATAGCTGAGTCATGTGTGCACTGAAACAAGATTTTGGACTTGAAAACAGATCAGCATAAAGCATCCTAAGAGCTTGCCAACTGCCTTGCGCCTTCACTCAAACACAACTATCTCATTTCCATCTAAAAGACAACTTAGCAATCAATCAAATATAGTACATTTGAACTCTGTAGCCAGTGCAACCATTTTTATCCCCACCTTTGTAAATGGATATAAACGAAAACAGCGATAGCCGAGTAGGCACAAAATAAATTCTGAACTACATGTTGGGGTGGGTTGATACATTTAGAGGCCAACCAAAAATATGTCAACATGTACAGAAGCACACAAAAATATACACAATTTCAGGAATATTTTGTCTTCACCATTTGAGATGTTGAAAGCAGGCAGCATGGGGTGTGTGTAACTGAATGGGAATAAAAGGGAGCAGGAAACGCTGATCTCAGATCCGGAATGAGTCTCTGTTGTGTTGTTGGTTCACCTGGGGTAGTCCGCAGACTCATCGAGGACTAGAAAGTTAGAAACATGGGTCCTCCATGCTAAACAATCAAAGTCTTTCATGGCAAACCCAAAACTGTATCCTTCCCATTTGAGCATATAAGCTGTTTTGTTTGGTGTGCTGCATCCTCGACCACATCTTGGAACACAGACCGGAAAGACCACCCTTTGCCACCTCCTCTTCCCCTTCCCATACTGCTTGCTTTTATTACCTCACCTGGTGAAGGAAGAAAATTTCTGAATGCTTATTTAATAATGTTTTGAATAGCTTCTATCATAGGTAAAGGTAAAGGTTCCCCTTGACATTTAGTCCGACTCTAGGGGGCGGTGCTCATCCCTGTCTCCAAGCTGTAGAGCTAGCGTTTGTCCGTAGACAGTTTCCGTGGTCACGTGGCCAGTATGACTAGACACGGAATGCTGTTACCTTTCCACCGAGGATGTACCTATTTATCTACTTGCATTTTGACATGCTTTCGAACTGCTAGGTTGGCAGGAGCTGGGACAAGCGTCGGGAGCTCACTCTGTCACGTGGATTCGATCTTATGACAGCTGGTCTTCTGATCTTGCAGCACAGAGACTTCTGTGGTTTAACCCGCAGCACCACCACGTCCCTTGAACATTGTGGAAGCTTTACCCCCCAAAAAATACCTGTTGCTATCTTTGTTCAAGAGTGTGCACATTACAGAAAAGTTCAAGCCTATAGCAAAAACTACACTTACGTTGCAAAATTAAGATATGAAGAGAGTGGATAGGTTTCATCCCGTAAAGGCTTCTCCGTGGCTTGCATGGGAAATAGGATAAGCTGTGGCTGCAATGAAATTCTAACAGGGTGGAGGTATATACTTTACCAGTAATGAGATGTGACCTAAAATATATTTCTTAGATGGAGAAGGCTGCCATGCAGACCCAAGAGGAGCATCATAGAATCATGGAGTTGGACGGCACCTATAAGGCCATCAAGTACACTCCCCTGCTCAGTGCAGGAAACCAAATCAAAGCAGATCCGATAGATGGTGGTTCAATTTTCTTTTGAATGCCTCCAGCATTGGAGCGCTCCCAGCCCCCAGAGATCATTGGTTCCACTGTCGTACTGATCTATCAATTACTTTAATAGCAACCTAAAATATGAAGAAGGGGCACTATCCTACTTTCCTCTCTAACTCATACAAAGACACAGCAGTTCAGCAACTGGGCTTTTTACTGCCAAGCAGCAAGAGGAAGAATCTTATTTTGGGACAAAGAGGGAATAAAGTCTCCTATTCTCAGAGCAAGTGCTCAAACATTTAAAAGTATTATAAAAATCAGACCCATGGCAGATGCGTCTACTAGGCTCATTTACACTTTCTTCCTTTTGTCCCTTCAGTTCAGGGCGAGAAATGTTCTGTTTGAGTCACACATAATTCCCAGGGACCTAAATGGGGCCCCAACATCTCTGCCCCACCCCTGAATCCTCACACCTCAAAAATTCTGAAATTTTAAAAAATAAAAATAATAAAATATTTAATAAATTTATCTTTGCCTAAAAAATTCCCCTTGAAACCTCTAGGCTAGGGGCGTGGGGAGTATTTTTTATTTTATTTTCTGAGGACCCACAGCACTGCTGAATCTCTCTATATTCCTATTTTTATTTTGGTAGTGCAAGGGGAATTTTTAAAGTTAAAAAAATTGTAAGAAGAAATTTGAGGGTGGAGGTCGGGGGAGCAACCTTTCAAAGCCCGAGAATGAGCATACGCTGCCTCCCAAACCGCTTCTGCTTTAAATTCTCAGACCAAATGTAGTCTCTTCACATCTTTCCATCATCCTCTAACCTGGATAGCTTATAGTTCTTCATGAAAACCAACATGGAGTTAACGTATAGGGTTAAAGAGGAACTACAGAAACCTTCAGAATCTCTTTGCAGTTTTCAACCCCTTCCTGAGCCCAGATGGAAATAACTTGCTCAGGACTTGCAAAGCCAGTGCCGTCATCAATGCTGGAGAAGAGATTCAAAGCCGCGCAGCCAGTTAAAAAAGATGGAGTTGCACTTCGATGCCCAGTCTCTTCGAATATCTAGAAAATGAGACATAGGCAGAGAGAGAAGAACCATTCAGTGTTTGCAAAACACAACAAAACCTTTAAAAAGGTAAGAAACCATGGACAATCCTGATCTATTCAGACATTATGTAGAATGTTCAGAGCTACATGGGTTTGCATTTCCAAAATAGCTGTGTCATGTGTGCACTGACACAAGATTTTGGACTTGAAAACAGATCAGCAAAAAGCATCCTAAGAGCCTGCCAGCTGCCTTGCACCTTCACTCAAACACAACTATCTCATTTCCGTCTAAAAGACAACTTAGCAATCAATCAAATATAGTACATTTGAACTCTGTAGCCAGTGCAACCATTTTTATCCCCACCTTTGTAAATCTGCTTATTGTCAAACACAAACACTTAATTTAGGTTCATCATCTTGGACATAGAAGAGTTTCTGTCCAGCTGTTTTGTCAAGAATATATGATTACTATATATATTATGGGTGAAATTCATGATCAGTAGACTTGATTTCCAGATTTTAACCACACGACGTGAATATTCCATCAAAAAGCATCCTAAGAGCCTGCCAGCTGCCTTGCACCTTCACTCAAACACAACTATCTCATTTCCGTCTAAAAGACAACTTAGCAATCAATCAAATATAGTACATTTGAACTCTGTAGCCAGTGCAACCATTTTTATCCCCACCTTTGTAAATCTGCTTATTGTCAAACACAAATACTTCATCTAGGTTCATCATCTTGGACATGGAAGAGTTTCTGTCCAGCTGTTTTGCCAAAAATATATGATTACTATACAGTGGTGCCCCGCATAGCGATGTTAATCCATTCCGGATTAATCGTCGCTATGTGGAAACTTTGTTAAGCGGAACGGAAAACCCCATAGGAACGCATTAAACTTAGTTTAATGCGTTCCTTTGGGGCCCTAAACTCACCGTTCTGCGATGTTCCTCCATAGTGCCACAATTTTCGCGCCCTCGGTAAGCGAGGGCAGGGCGCGAAAATGGTTGCTATGCGGATTCGTCGTTAAACGGTGCGCTCGTTAAGCGAGGCACCACTGTATATATTATGGGTGAAATTCATGATCAGTAGACTTGATTTCCAGATTTTAACCACACGACGTGAATATTCCATTAAATAATATTGTGCAAAATTGGAGCCACCGCACTAGGTGAAAGGTAAGCAGCTGAGCACTCGTTAAATGTTTTGGACTACAAGTCCCATAATCCCTAACAACTGGCCATGCTGGCAGTGGCTGGCAGGAGCTTTAATCCAAGCCATCTGCAGAGCACCAAGGCCACCACTATATGGACTGTCAGCAGACCACAAGGCTCTGCCAGCAGCAGTTTTACCAGATTTCCGTTATACAAGAAGAGAAAGTGGAGTTCATTTTCTCACAGTAACAAGGCTGCGAGAGAGTGAAGTACTGGATACCTCACTGCATAAACTCTAAGGTATCCCTCTCGCATATTCACCAGCCCACTGTATTCACACAACGCTCAAACAGGATTCTGGCCCTGAGATTCTTGCCTATCCACTTCTGGTAGATTACATTTGGAACAGTCGTCTCACATTTGTGACTGAAAGAAAGAGGAAACCTATGAAATTCACTGTATCCAAGAAACCATTCAATGCAAACCTAACAACGTAAGCTAGAGTTCAGTCTAATGTGCATTCACCAAACACTGGATTGCATGCAGAACCTTTTTAGAGCACAAAAGTGCAGTTCTAACTGTCATGCTATTTCTGTCACCTTCTCTTATTTCAATCTGATCATCCATTTCTGCTTGTGCCTCTGGCTAATCTGCATTCTAAACAGACATTGAAAACAAGGCAATGGTTTGATCCTGGTTTGTTCTCACTAACTGAAGTTTAAATAAGCTATGGTTCATTGGTAAAGATGCTTTCTTTTTTTATCTTTACCATATTTATTTAGCGTATGAAACAGAACTAGAAACCATATGAAGAGCTTTTCAATCCCAAGACTTGATTTCCAGATTTTAACCACACGACGTGAATATTCCATTAAATAATATTGTGCAAAATTGGAGCCACCGCACTAGGTGAAAGGTAAGCAGCTGAGCACTCGTTAAATGTTTTGGACTACAAGTCCCATAATCCCTAACAACTGGCCATGCTGGCAGTGGCTGGCAGGAGCTTTAATCCAAGCCATCTGCAGAGCACCAAGGCCACCACTATATGGACTGTCAGCAGACCACAAGGCTCTGCCAGCAGCAGTTTTACCAGATTTCCGTTATACAAGAAGAGAAAGTGGAGTTCATTTTCTCACAGTAACAAGGCTGCGAGAGAGTGAAGTACTGGATACCTCACTGCATAAACTCTAAGGTATCCCTCTCGCATATTCACCAGCCCACTGTATTCACACAACGCTCAAACAGGATTCTGGCCCTGAGATTCTTGCCTATCCACTTCTGGTAGATTACATTTGGAACAGTCGTCTCACATTTGTGACTGAAAGAAAGAGGAAACCTATGAAATTCACTGTATCCAAGAAACCATTCAATGCAAACCTAACAACGTAAGCTAGAGTTCAGTCTAATGTGCATTCACCAAACACTGGATTGCATGCAGAACCTTTTTAGAGCACAAAAGTGCAGTTCTAACTGTCATGCTATTTCTGTCACCTTCTCTTATTTCAATCTGATCATCCATTTCTGCTTGTGCCTCTGGCTAATCTGCATTCTAAACAGACATTGAAAACAAGGCAATGGTTTGATCCTGGTTTGTTCTCACTAACTGAAGTTTAAATAAGCTACTGTTCATTGGAACAAGATGCTTTCATTTTTTTTCTTTATCATATTTATTTAGCATATGAAATAGAACAACTGGAAACCATATGAAGAGCTTTTCAATCCCAAACTAAAACTTTGGGAGACAACCTCTCTCAGAAATTATGCATGTCTTCATCATTACCTGGTGCGATGCTGATCTTTGACATTTTGGTTTGAGTGGGGTGGAAGAAACCTGACAAGGGACGGGACTGTGGTTGAACAAGCCAAGCTGGAATTCTTTCAGGCTTACTCTTCCATCTCCATCACTATCCAATTTATTAAACAATTCTTCAAGGTCCTGTAAAAAACATGCCATTGTTCAATCATTAGACTAAATGAAATATTTTTAGTCACAAATTGCACTATTTCATACTGCACAAAAATACAAAGTTATATTCTGTTTCGATTTATCTTGGCCAACTACTATATGTCTTTGAGAACAAAAGATTTCTGCTTACAGGACTTTTTCCCTGCCCTGTGTTCAAATCAGAATCCCCTTAAGGGGTATGGTGCTAGCTATTGCACAAAAAGACAAGATTATACTCTGTTTCAATTTATCTTGGCCAACTACTACAATATATGTCTTTGGGAGCAGAAGATTTCTGCTTACAGGACTTTTTTCCTGCCCTGTGTTTAAATGGGAATCCCCTTAAGGGGTATGGTGCTAGCTAGAAATAAAAGTCTTCTAAAAGCTGGGCTACCTACAACAGGAGGGGAAAATGCACAACCCAAGTTCTGTATCATTCAGTTGCTGTTCTTTTCAATCCATTGTTCATGTGAGGTTATGGGGGTGGGACGGGGGAAAGTTTTACCAACTTCAGAGGGGTACCTCCCACTGCGATAGGTAAGCCCCCCACCCCCGTTTTTTTGCTCCTGCAGAATGAAGAACCATCATTGTTCTCACAAACCGAGTCTGCCAAACAGGAATAAATAGATTCCATCTATTGGTCTTAAAATGGGGTTTTCATGTTCAAATCTCCATTTTTCTGTGAAGCTTATTGGGTGACCATGGACCAACCATTCTCTCAGCCTAGCCTACCTCACAGGAATGTAAGGGAGTGGAGAAGGGAGCTTCTTAAGGCACACATTCTCAGCTTTGGGTCCTCCAGTTGTTTCAGATTTCAGCTTCAAGAATCTCTGCCCATTGACCATATAAGCTTAAACTTCTGAGCGCTGAAGTGCAAACATCTGGAAGGCCAAACGTTCATTCCACCGTCTTGTAAAATAGGCAGGTACCAAGTGTAGTAATATAATCTATTCACAGGTATGGACTTAGAGAATTTTTTTTAAAATCTAATTTATGATGCAAGGCTTTCCTGAAGATTACGAAGAAGTAAAGTACATTTGACAATTGGGATGCCTAAATGCTTTTACGCATAACCAACATGTCCACATTAATGGCCCAAGCAATCTTTCTGAATGGAGAGTATGCAAAAGCCAAACCCAACCCACCTCTTTTTCCAACTGTTTAAGTCCAATGTTCTTACAAACAATAGCAAGCTCTTGTTTGTCCAGGTATCCATTATTGCCAATGCCAAGATCATCCCAGATGTCCCGAACCTGGTTCTCAGTCATGTCAAAACAGGAGGTGGGGACTCTTCTGGGGTCATCAAAAAAGTCATCATCCCAGGAAGACAGTCGGCCTATAAATATTAGGACATCCTCTATTTAACTACACCTGTGCTTTTCTTCTAATTATTAGAATTGTAGAGTAGGAAGGCACCCCAACAATAATCAAGACCAACCCCCTGCTGAAACAGAAAAAAAAAAACGGAAAAGAAGACTGTGCTGGTATTATTATCAAAGATATTCCATTGATTCAATCTTCCAACAATGCAACTGGAACTTGCATATTATGTGTTTAGTCCTCTCTTAAATTTAAATAGCTTTCTCCAGGAGAATCTCCCCCCCCCATTGTAATGTGGCATTGATACCAACATTTCTATAGTATCTATTGTAACTGGAAACATTTAACATACTAGAATAAAACTGCATTTTTCTGATAATATATGAAAACCATCAGAAGCGTAATCTAATCTACTGATTATATCAACCATCTCCCCAAATTCAACCTGCAACTTCCACACAATATAAACAATTTAGTTTCTGAAACCAAAGGCGAGCCATGTATTACATAAGGCAAAGCTAGATGTTTAGTAATTAATGCTTTAGTAATAATTTGTATTGGCCACCCTATATTCTACAGTGGTGTCTCGCTTGACGGCGATTATCCGTTCCAGCAAAATCGCTGTACAACAAAATCGTCGTCAAATGAAAGTAAAAAAACCATTAGAATGCATTATAAACCAGTTAATGCATTCTAATGGGCAAAATACCTCACAGTCCAGCGAAAATCCTCCATAGGGCGGCCATTTTCTGGTACCTGTAATGCGAGGAATCCGTCCTTAACACAGCTGGGAGCCATTTTGAAACCCGGCAATCACCTGTTTTCTGATCATCGTTAAGCGAAAAATCAGTTCCCGAAGCAGGGAACTGATTATCGTCAAGCGTTTTTTCCTATTTAAACATCGTTTTGCAATCGGAAAAAACATCATCATGAAGCGATTTCATTGTGGAGTGGGGTAATTGTTAAGCGGGGCACCACTGTATATGCTACACTACTTAAGACGATGAGACTGGAGGAGATACAGAGTTTACTGAATTTATTTACCGAACCCCTCAGTCCAGTTAAACTAAGGAGGTTCCATCTAATTTGCTTATATTGTAACAGATTGTGTACATGTGATATTATTGTTATTATTGCTACCTTATGCTACCTTTCATTCATTCACTCACTCACTCATCCATGTATTCTATGTCTAACTTGAAGACAGAGGACTTTCCCTTTACTATTTTAAGGAAGTAATGAAAAAATTATGTAACTGCCTTATACCAATTCAGACTTTTTGTCCCTCTAGCCCTACACTGCCCACCTGGTTGGCATCACCAATCAGGGTCTCAGAAGTCTTTCTACCTTTGAAGAGTCGGTGTAGTAGAATGGATAGAGCATTAGATAAGGATTGGAGAGATCCAGGCCCAAGTCTGCATTAAGCCATGAAATCCATTGGGTGATCTTGAGCCAGTCACTCTTTCTCAGCTTCACCGACCTCACAGATTGTGAGGATGGAGCAGTGAAAGAGAAAGCCACGTATACTGCCTTGAGCTCACTGGAATAAAGGTGTGATAATTGCAACAAACAAATATTCAAACCCTTTAACTGTAGATGCCAGGAACTGAGACTTTGGCCCTATGCCTGCAAATGATGTACCAAAAACTTACATTTATTCTTTTGTTTCATTGCAAGATGGGAAATCACTTCCAAATGGGAAGTACCTACTTCTCTAGCCACATTTGGAGAATTTGGGTTTGGTACATTGTTTTAATGGAAAAATAACCAACCAAATTAGATAGACAAGAAACACACACATACTGAATGAATTCTTCAATTTTCGTTTCCCATTATTATTTAAATAATAACACTTTAATTTATACTCATCCAAGTACACGTATTGACCTACGGCCTAACATTTTAGTCTGAAGCATAAAGATTACAAATGAACTATATGTATTTCACTAGTGTTTCTGTATCACTACAAAGACAGTATGGTCCTGTATCCAACCGAAGAGGTAGCCATGTGTGGGCATGGCCAGCCTCTGGCACTGCAGAGCTGGCAATGGCTGGGTTCCCTAGCACAAACTCTGTGGGCTCAACCTCAGGGTTTAAATATATGGGTGCTTTATTTACAGTTGTACTACAGCTTCACAGAATCCCTGTAGCCTCAGAAGAAGCAGGTTGAGGGGCATACACCAGTCCACAAACACCCTCTCCCTCAGAGGGATCCTCAGTTATCTTCATTGAGGGTCCCCACAGTTGAGGTCACTCAATTTGAGACTTTACCCAGTTCAAAGAGGGTTTCAAAGAGGGTCCTTGATATTGGATGCCAGCTGCCCTGCCTTGCCCTGCCCTGTCCTTCCTCCTGGTCCTTGCCTTGCCCAGGATAACAATTTGGGGGAGGCTCTGCTGTCAGTCAGCAGTGGTTTTGGGTGAAGGAACATCATGCAGCCCTCCCGGCTTCCTCGGGTGGCAGCAGCTCCTCCTGGGCATCAACCCAGGTCCCTTCTCCTCCTCCTTCTGCTGACCAGCAGCCTTCTAAAGCCCGGTCTTCCCTCCTGTTTATCTGGCTCCTGGCTGCTTTGGGCAGGTTTTCCTCATTAGGCTGCTGCACTTTTCCCAGCTGCCTTCTCTCCCTCTTTCCCTGTGCCTTAGCCTTTTCCCCTGGCTGAGCTCTCTCCATTGTCTTAAAATGGCTCACCGTGAACAAGCCAGGCACCTAGCATGCTCACTCTGCCACACCTTGTCAGTCTACTTCAGCACCTGGGGGGATGGGGGACAATGAAGCACCTTAAGTTTAACAGATTTGCTCTGTGTGAACATCTGTGGACCAAGATCCACTTTGTCAGACACATGGAGTACCCATACTATGTCACCTGTATTTATAGGTAAGGAGTCACGTCAGGTGAAGTTTGTACCCTCAACTAGTCATGCTCCCTACCATCATGAGCATATGTATCAATAAAGATGGAACAGTAATGAGTAAGTACTCTATATGTCTGAGGATGTGGATTTTGCTCCACAAATGTTCCACAAAAACAAACTTATTAAGTTTTAAGGTTCCACAGTCCTTCCCCTTCCCCCCCCCAGCTACTTTTTTGCTGCTTTTATTACTGTTGTTTCATTTCATAAAACTGATTTATAAACAATTTTGGGGGAAATTGTATTATTGAAAAATTGTGCTTTTGTGAGGACAAAAATGGCAAGAATGGAAGTCAAACAAGAAAGCAAACTCTGCTTCTGTTATCCAATAAATCCTTGACAATCTCTAGTGTTTGCTTGTCTGCATTTAAACTGCCAAAAGTCTGTCTCGGTATTTGTTATATCCATTTTAAGAGAGTTCATATGGCCCCTACCTTCTCCCTCCAACCCCTCATGCTGCTGTTCTTTTGTACTTTCAGGGTCCTCATCTGATTTAAGGCTCTGAAAAGAAGAACAGGATTAGACGTTTTGCAAAATTACATAGCTAAGCTTGAAGAAAAACTCAACAACAAAAAGCAAAGCAAATGTGAAAGTTTGCGCAATTCTGAAAAACTGCCAAGTATTTCAAGTTAGTATTTCTTCCCCTTGCAATTTAGCTAAAAATGTTCTCTCTGGCAAATACTGTACTTCAAAACCACCAGATAATTTAGATACTACATCAGTATGTATTGAATTGCTCAGTCCAAATCCTGTCCGTGATAAAATGACTGAAACCCTGTATGTAGCATAAGCCAAAATGTAACTTTCTATCTATTCCTCCCTGGTAAAGAAAGCGCCCCTTGAAAGTGTGTGCGTGCGTGCATACACCAAGCCACAAATGTGTGTGCACGCCTCCCAGAATTGCAGCAGGACATTGTATTTACTAGGGAGGAAAGGATAGATATTTATAATTTGGCTTACACTACAAACTGAATTTCAGCCTCTAAAGTTAAATGCATGCCGCTTCTTGAAATGAAGTCAATATTTCCATCCATCTTAGGTCAATTGTGCAGAAAGTGAATGTCTAACATGGTGCCCTGCAAAACATTAGGGTGTGGAACATGAACTTCCTCATCAAACTCCAGTTATAAAAACAGAAATAAATTGGTGATTTTCACTATTTATGTCAAACTTAAAATTACTGCTTTATTAACATTTTCAGTGGGCAGCCATGTTAGTTTGTCGCAGCAAAAATAACAGAGTCTTATCGTATCTTAAAGACTAGAAAGTTTTCCTTGACATAAGCTTTTGTGAACGGCAACCTATTTCTTTAGATATCGCTATAACGTGTGTTAGTCTTTCAGGTGCCACAATATTTGATATGTCAAGTGGTTTAGAAAAATTCCGTACACACTCACTTGGATTTGCAAGACTGCAGTAACAAAATCCGAACACAATCAAGACCTTTTCAGACGTTATTAAAGCACATATTCTCTATGTGAGGATGGATATGCAGTGGCCATTTCCCTTTCACTGCTAATGAGGAGACTTCATTGAACCTGAGGCCAAAGCGCTGATTGTTTCCTTCCATATTCTGGCTTGCACACAGAGTCTCTATGGGTAGATCAAGTTCTTCACTTCAGACATGTTACTTTCACAAAAGGAAATCAATGAGATGAAGCGAGCCAGGCTAGCACACTCCCTTTCTTGTGTGTAGAGTACATAGACTTTAATATTGATAGAACAGCGGATTACATAGAAGTCTTTTTTTTACTAAACATTTGGTCTAATCCAGAAACCTTAGGGAGGACCCAAGGAAATGCAATAATATTCACTTGTTCTGTTTAAAATAGCTGGTGGATGAGTCTTTACTTTAGACTTACTTCTACACTCTCAAGAGATGCCGAGCGCCGCAACTGACTTTTCGATTGCTGCTCTTGTAAATACTTGGGGTGTTCCAACTTGGTTCCCTGAAGTTCTGGTCTTGTTCGGCGGCCATACCACTTGGCCCCTTTGATGTACTTGGGTTCCACTTTGTCTGGAGCAGCTAAGAGGTGGAAACAATTGTAGATCTGGTTCAAGCGCTAATGAGTTATTTGCAGTTCTCACTTTTATCCTGGTCAGTCGCAATCAAGCCTTCAAAAATAAAAGAAACTAGAATACCATTAACACAGAGTCTAACATGCTTTGCGTGCTACATATCCTGTGTAAACCCATTCAGTATCCATTAAGATGTATTAAGAATTTGTGGATCCAAGCTAATTTTCTTACCAGAGGCTACCTGTAGCCTCACCAAGATCGCCAAACAAACCCACTGACAGAGAACCTGGATGTATACTGTATATCTTCCCTAATCAATGGGTAAAGTCTAACATGGCAAAAATGGAAGACAGGTTGTGCAACAGATGTTTCCGTTCTGCTCACCCCCTGAATCCCTTCCTGCCATAACTATCCAAAAAGGCTCTTCAGAGGTGGGGGGCTGTGGCGACCACTCATGTCCCGCATGCTCATGATCTGATTTACACGAGCCTATGAGAGGGCTGGAGAGGCAGAGTCAGCAGCTACATGAGGCTTGGCTGGAGGAGGAGTTATCAGATAGGGCTGGTTAGAGAGACAGGTAGAGAGGGTGTAATGAGACTTGTGAGCGGAGAAAAACTATGTACTGAGGGAACTAATGGCGAAATGCTTGTGTACACTGAATAGCTGAAAGACTTCTGTTATTTTTCATTCTGCTTCCCTTCAATAAATAAGTTCTGTTTTGTTCACATGACATGTGTTCAGATATACGTCATTTACATTGTGGACTGAAGTAATCCACTGGTTTAGAGAGAGAATGCGAAGAGAGAACGCGATGTGAGCCTTTGTTGGAGAATAGTAAACCGGCTGCACCCTGTTGCAGGAGCCCCTGCAACAGGGGCTCCTACCAAACACTGGGGGCTCAGTGTTATTGGGTGGCAGTGTGAAGGGAGACATGCCCCAAGTCAGACGCAGGCGTCTTGCAGCTGCTATAACTCAACCATAGAACTGTATCTAAAATCATCATGTCGATTCCAAAAGCAAAGGCAATTTCACCACTCTCACCTTCAAGGTCTTTTGGTGTTCAGGACAGTAACACATCCACAGCTAATCATGCCAAGAATAAAGTAATCATTTGAGAATCTTTCTTTGCTCAAAACAGTATCTTCATTGTGGGCTAATCTATGTCCCTGAATGCAGCAAAGAGTCAAATCGTGAATTCATTTACATAAGGCAGAATAAACTGGAAGATGTTTATCTGTTTCCAAACTGAAAGATCAACTTTCAAATAATAGTACATTCAGGATAGCACACTTTCCTCCGTCAGCTCAGCTACTGTCGTACTTTCCCATATTACTACAGTACAGCTCACTTCCACTGAACTAATGAAACTACTGTATTAGAGCAAATTCCATATTTACATACATCGTTATGTCATAATGTATCTTCTGGTACTATAAATTGAAAAGCCACCAGTTAAAGGTTTTCTGCACGTACAAACTCATCTACTGCATTGCATTTGAAGTAACAACACTTATGACCACGATTACTGTGATTTTTAAAGAAATACAGGAAATCAGACACTATCTAATATTAATTATCATGGGATAATCAGTCGGTTTTCTGCACACACAAACTCATCTACTGCACTGCATTTGAAGTACTGTAACAACACTTATGACCACAATTACTGTGATTTTTAAAGAAATATAGGAAATCAGACACTCTCTAATATTAATTATCATGGGATAATCAGTCTGATCGCACCTTTGCTGTACAGTATCTTTCTTTAAAAAATTATGATTTTACTGTATTTAGAGGTATAAACAAAGGACATGGAGGATTTCTGTTAAGCAGGATGTGTAAAACATTAACAGAAAATTCTCTACAGCATACTTGGTTTAGTGATTAATCCACATCTTAGACAAAGTCTTAAAACAGGAAATCCAAAACAAATCTACTTGCCCCTTCTCTCTTGTCACCCACCTGGCTCCAGATAACTGCTTTCATCATCTGAAAGGCCAAGGCTGATGCTTGAGGACAATACAGTCACAAAGCCTTCCTTAAATTCATCAAAGTTAACCTGGCAGGAGACAAACAGAAGGACACCGTTAATCTGGATCAACAGCAGGAAAGACAACAAATCAGTTCTTCTTTCCCTTCTGTCTACCCATTCAAGAAAATGAAGTGAGCCAGTGGAAAATAAGAAATTGTTAAGTCTTCAGCAGAATCTTGCTCTTATTTGGTTATGCCAAAACCTGCTGATATATGAATCACCACTAAGCAATTAGAAGCCATGACAGAATTTGTGTGGACCTCCATTCTCCAGCATAGATGCCAAAATCCCACTGGTGTTCAAGTAAAGTTGTGTCACTTGCTGCAGCTAATTGAGGCTAATTAACAAAGTGCCAGAGTGCATCTTGGTTGTGCTTGTCAGGCACATGACCAGACATCCTGCACTTTGTGAATTAGCTGCAACAAGTTAATAAAACCTTACATAAACAACAACAGGATTCCAGTTGGATTTATCTGTTCCACTTTGATGGATGCACCAGCAGTAGCTACTTCCCTGAAAAGATTTAATATGTTGAGGACCCAAAGCAGTGGTAGTAAACACATCTGCATCTTTACTTTATATACATACTTTTCATATTCCATAGGCCTGAGGCTTAAGATCATTCATATTGACCATTCAAGACGTAACAGTTCAATTTTTATTTGGTATTTCAAGAAACAATCTTCTCCATCTTTTAGTCTTCCTTTATAGAAACGACCAAGCAAATGTTGTAAGCCACATTCTTGTCTTGCTTATTTGTTACAGCAACAAAGTAAAAGAACTTTTTTGGCACTGTGAGGACACCGAGAATATTAGGCACACAAAAGCTGACCTTTGCTTACAGTATTCTCAGGATGATATATAAGGGTAGAGACAATTAGCTCAGTTAGTTCAAAAGTGCAGCTTTTGTTAGACACAGTTTGCTTCCAGTTTCTTGCTAGTTTCTAAGTCAGGGTCTAGTTTTTTTAAAAAAGAAGAAGAATTTACAGCTCTCTGCTGAAAAACATTTATGATGCCTTTGAATTCTCCTAAATTGTAAATTAGTCTGAAATCTGGCAAGCTATCTGGACCGAACAAGAACAGGTACTGGTTTCATTTACAGACTACAAAACTTCCCCTGTGAAGAAGAAAATGTATTGGCTTCATTCAAACAATTCTCCAAGCCATAGCATGCAGGATCAGCCAGATCTAAGCATCAGACTGAGCCATTTCGTCTCTGCCTTTCTGCATGCATAGGAAGGAGATCAGAAGCTACTGCTTCTAGTTAGAACAACCCACCATTTGTTATCATGTATGAAAGGGATAACTTATTGTTTGCTCAAAAAGTGGTCTGCCAGCAATCCAGGATCTCTAAACAATCCAGATTAGGAATGAGATGCAGTAAACCAGGACTGTATGAAGTTATGTTTGTTTGGGAAGTCTATTTTTTGGATACACCAGAAACTTATAGTTCGCCACAGGGTCAGGATGGATTTTAAATTTTAAAAAATTGATTTTTTATGATTTAAATTTAATCAAACATTTTTTAAATTTAAAATGTTTAAAAATTAAATCCACTTGCACTGTGGGAAATTAAGAGCTGCTTCTTCTGGTTAGTGGCAAACCAGGCTGGATAAAAATCAATCATTTTTAAAATCAAATTGATTTGAATCATGATTTAAATTTAAAGATTGGAATGTTTTGACAATCTAAATAAAAAATCATTTTAAAATTTATTTTAATCAATTTGATTTTAAAAAAGCATTGATTGTTTTATCCACCCCGGTTTGCCATTAACCAGAAGCAGAAGCACTTAATTTCCCACTGCATGTGGAAGGAGGAATGCAGCTTCCCAAACTTGGGTGAAAGAGTGCCTAACATTTGGTCCTCCAAATATCTGACAATACAACACTCCACCGTTCCTTACTTCTCACCATAATAAGTGGGGTTTATGGGAGATGACAGGTAAAGTTTCTGTAAAACCAGGTATTCCCTCCAGCCTTGTTCTGAACTATTGTCCAAATGTAACCATTTGTTACAAAAATTAGAGAGATTACAAAGAACTTCCACAGAATATATATTCTAATAAAGATCAGGATCATTAAAAGTACATATGCGATTAGCTAAACCAGTACTTTGTAGTTTGAGGTTGGCAACTCTGATGGGCCAGAGACAAATTTTCAGCCCACCACATGGCCACCAGCTGCATCAGGCCCAGAAACAGTTTTTAGAATGGTAGAAAAATATGACACACACATCCTTCCTTTTGGGGGGGGGGTTGCAGTTGGCTTGCATGAAACATCACCATTCACAGAGACTTCCAGGATACAAGAAACATTTTTGTCGGCCTAACCAAATTTTTGGCATTAGAAGCATTGGGGGCTCCAAAACAGTCTGTAGTCACCACAAGCAGCCTAGGGACCATAATGTGCCCATCCTTGTTGCACCTCACTACTTCTTGTGACAGCAACAAGTGGAACACATCTGCCTCTGCCCGTAGTCACTGGCTAGACACAGTTATTTGGGATAAGAAGAGAGGGATAAAAGAGGCTGCAATTTTTAACCGTACCCAGAGGAATACTCCTTCCTCATAGCCAAAAGCGACTTACCCTAGCAAAGGGATTATTTCCCAAGAGTGTTTCCAGGAGTAAAGGCAGCTGTCTTTCTAAATGTAGCTTGTGGCAGAGTGCCGTCAACTCCTCCTTGTCCAAACGCCCAGTGCCCGTGGTATCGCAGCTATCATACGCATCCTTGAGCTGGGACACATACTTGTTCTCTTCTTCACCCATCCCATAGTACACAGAACTCAACCTAAGAGCCAGGGAACATAAGTCAACTTTCACTCCATTTGTGTTAGGAGTTCATTTGTTTTAATTGGTCTTTCCTTTAAACCATATGTAAACTCATAAAGCAAACTTTTTAAAGTCAAATAATTATTCATGCATTCATTTATTTAAATTGTCTTTCTGTTCAGCAGAGCTCTGAAAGCATACATAAGAGTTTACCCAAGTCCTTTCTGTGAAGGGGGGACTTCTAGCAATTGACTGAATTCTAACTGGAACTAACAATCAGATTTAGCTGTACATATTAACAACATTAATAACACTTAACTACATCACCCTTAGCTACTTTGCATCAACATCCAACTGCATCCAGCTTTCACTGGTACTCTACCAATTTGCTTGACCTACGATCATTGGTCTTCTTTATGCCAGATCCAATCTAGAGACCTTTGGGTAGTGTGGGCGGCTCAATTTGCTTGACCTACGATCATTGTTCTTCTTTATGCCAGATCCAATCTAAAATGTTCTTGGGATTTTTAAACATAATTTGCTACTGTTTATTGAATAGCTTGCTGATTTTATAACAACTTTTAAAACATGTTACATTTTGGAGCTTAGATCCAAAGACTGGAAACAAACATTTCAAGCAATACAAGAGAATAGCCCAGCTGAAACACAGGTAAACCATAAAAGTCTTTGTTCAGTTGTCTTCCTCCCCCTACCCACTGGGGAAAAAGACACTCCTTGTTGCAAAAGTTTGGTTCCAAGAAAACTGGGACCAGAATAGAAACACACACAGGTTAGGAGATCCTTGGATCAGGTTGTTTATTTCACGACGGCATTTTGCCGATTTCCCCACAGATCTTAAACTACCTGTTAGAACTCATCCCCTTTCCCAACGCTCCCTTCACTTGTTGTGCCAGCAGTAGTGACAGATGGGTATTTACCCAGTTACCTGACACAAAGGGAATTACATTATTAATGCACAACAAATATTTGATAAAATCAATTGAGTGGAAAGAACAAAGACTGTTTTTCACTTCTTAAAAAGACGCAGAACAGGAACACCCAGTTCAGTTTCATGTGAGATATTTACCCTGAACAACCAAGAAAAATATGTGTTGTGACATGCAGCCCATGTGTCATAGGACATTCCAATGAGACACAACCATAACATTTTAGGTGTCATGGCTTTTAGCTGCACCCAGAGGATGCAGCTTGTTGACAGAGCACATCAAATCAGCAGAGCTGGAAAATGGAGAAAACAATAGAATGTACCGTAATTAATGCAGGAGAACACCACATAATCATTTATACAAACAAACTTGAACTTGTAGCACACCATACATTTCAGCCTCCAAAGGGAAGTAGCTCCTCACCCACTGCTACAAGTTACTCCCCCACTAAGATATTCTGTTGGTCTTTTCAGATTTGTGTTGTTTTAAGGTACTTGGTATGATCGCCTTGTGCATTCCAAATTCACAACGTAGCACAGATTATTATTGCATAAGAGTAAAAGCTGGCAATTCATAAATCAGTCTTACAAACCTGACACCCTCCAGATCTGACAGAACACAATCCTCACCATCCCCAGCCAACATTGAGAAGGGTAAGGAATTATAACTGTAGTCCAGCAGACCTGGGAAATGCTTGGTTGAAAATTTCTATTGTGCACAAAGAAACATTCTTTAAATGTCCACAAAATTCCAGAATTTCCAAGTTCAGTATTGTTTAAAAAGTCCCCCTGTTTTTTTCTGAGCAGTCAAACATATAAAGTAGCAAGTTCTATACCAAAATGTACCAACAAAGAAGCTAGTAAGAAAAACTTAAAACTTTATCTATAGCCAAAAAGCTCCTTCACACATGTCCAAGGCAGATTTTCATTCGGTACTGGAAAGAATTTCCATCCCAGATTTCTTGACTACACCAAAGCTGGGAGGCACTAACATTAGAATAGGAACAAATGCCGCCTTTTGGCCACACCACAATTGTTACATGCAAGCATTTCCAGTGCTGCAAAAATTACCAGGCAATGCCTATGGTCTCATGCCAAACCAGACAAAATTGTAAATCTCTCTCAACCCACACGTTTTGTCCGCTCCTCTCCCATTTCCTATGAATTACTTTTCTCTGGAAAATTTAGAAAAAGCAAATCACAAGCAGGAGTCATACAGAATGAACTAGACCAAATAATAAGTTGTGCGCAATTTTTTCCAACCATTTGCTTTTCAGACTTTTCACATTTTGGTGCAGAAACTCCATAATGGAAATGCCACAACCTCCTAAAGCAACTTTGTCTACTATCTAAGCCGCACGCTAATATTTGGTCCTGACCAGTGCAGGCTCCCAAAACATTTTCTTAAAGATTTATTTGCATTTACTTTTGTATAGTTAGGACATGTAAATCATTTAACACTTCTAAAGCAGCCAGAAGTGTTCTTATTTTTATCTTATTCAGGAAGAACATCTTTTCTAAGACAAATGGTAGGTGGCAAACCTTTCTAAATATGAGTTACAAATATTTTTTGAAAGTCTGCTCTTAAGTTAATTGGGAGCACTTTTTAATTAATTAAGGCAACTCTTAATACCTTCAAGTCCCCCTCTATTCAGCACTGGTTAGGCCTCACCTTGAGCACTGTGTCCAGTTCTGGACACCACACTTCAAGAAGGATGCTGACAAATTTGAACAAGTTCAGAAGAGGGCAACAAGGATGATCAGGGGGCTGGAAACCAAGCCTTATGAGAAAAGGCTGAAAGAATTGGGCATGTTTAGCCTTGAGAAAAAAAGACTAAGGGGTGATATTATAGCGTTTTTCAAATATCTGAAAGGCTGTCATACAGAGAAGGGGCGAGATCTGTTCTTGATCATCCCAGAGTGCAGGACACGCAAGTATGGGCTCAAGTTAAAGGAAGCCAGATTTCAGTTGAATATCAGGAAAAACTTCCTAACTGTTAGAGCAGTATAACAGTGGAACCAGTTACCTCGGGAGTTGGTGAGTGCTCCAACACTGGAGGCATTCAAGAAAAAGATAATTGCATGGCAGATATGCTTTGATTGTATTCCTGCATTGAGCAGGAGGTTGGACTTGATGGCCTTGTGGGCCCCTTCCAACTTCACTTTTCTATGATTCTAATACACTTAACTAGGGAGCAAGGTGCATTATACACAACAGAAGTTACTTATCTGTAGATATACATAAGTCTGTATTCTCGAAGGCTTTCACGGCCAGGATCCGATGGTTGTTGTGGGTTTTCCGCATCATGGCCAAACAACCCGGAAAACCCATAACAACCATACATAAGTCTGTTATAAAGATTTTTACCAACTAATACTATTCATGCCTATTTCATCCTTAGTGGACGGTGAAGAAAGGCAACAGGGAGTGGGGGAAATTGATTCATTCAAATATGGTACTGGAGGAGTGCTTTACAGATACCAGAATCTGCCAAAAAGATAAACAAGTACAGTAGTACCTTGACTTACGAACTTAATCCATATTGGAATTAAGTTTGTACATCACTGTTCATAGGTAAAGGCATTGCAACGCCGGTTAATCCATACTCTACCACTAGGGGGAGATATTTTTTAAAAAATTTCTTCTTTTGACCTAAGGTGAACTTAGGTCAAAAAAAGGGCAGAAAATGTTTTCTTTTTCTATTTGGTTCGTAAGTCAAGGCTCCATTTGCAGGTCGAAACAACTTTTTGCATAACTCGAATTGTTCGCAAGTAGGGACGTTCGTAAGTTGAGGTTCCACTGTAGATCCTAGATCAAATCAAGCTTGAATCCTCTCTAGAAGCAAAAACAACGAAAATGAAGACACATCATGAGAAAACTCACTTGCTAGGAAATCTTAAAGCAGCAAGAAAAGAGAAAGCTCAAATATGAGATGGACCTGACTCAATAAAAGAAACCACAGCCCTGATTTTGCAAGAGCTGAGCAGGGCTGTTGATGACAGGGTAGCTTGGAGGTCACTTATTAATAAGGTTGCCATGAGTAAGAGCCAACATGATGGCACATAACAATATTTCAAAGTGCCATCTATCATTTCATCTAATTTAAGACTGTCAATTCTGATTTGGCATAAATTTTGCCAAGTTTCCCAGGGACCATTATTCCTATGCTCTGCAACCTGACTATCTATACTTGAGATACTATGGATCAGATTTAAGATCCTGACCGATATTTTATCAAATGGCCCATCTCTTCTTACATACATTTTCCTGCTGTACCTTTATGAATCTAGCGCAACCTCTCCCACGATTTCAGGCAGAAGGATAGCAGAGGTACCTTCCCAGACTATTCCTCCCACAATGTCTGCCACTAAGGAAGGATCCACTAGCAGCCAAGCCTTCAAGCCTGACTAGCGTATGCTCCCAAAACTAAGCTGGTTCTTAGTTAGGGCCACAGTAGCAGCTCAAGCTCCAATTGGTCTCATATCCCCTCAGTGTCTCTCTGCTGTTCTCGGTACTGCCCACAGACCACATCCCCACACAGGATGAGATTAGCACTGACACAAGGTAGAAGCACAGAATAGTTGAGTTGGGGGGGGCTAGAAGACCATCGAGTCCAACCCCCAGCTCAAGGCAGGGCCAAAAAGAGAATACATTTAGACCTCTTTAAGCACGGACAGAGGAGAAAGATATAATCTGTTAATATTTCCACTGATTTAAAAAAAAAGAGGTCCAAGATGTCAGTCCTTTAAGTACTTACCTAGAAGTAGGCTCCACTGAACTCAGTAGGACATTCGAACCCACTGCTATCTGGTCTTTGCTGTAGACAGTCCTTGAGTATACAGAATGCTGATCTGGACAACTACAGCTATTCTTGTTTTCTTATTTCTACCACTGTGCCATGCTCAAAAGCCTTTCTTTTAGAACTCCAGGAATCGGTTGTCCAGCATTATCTGGGCCACACAAAGTCGTCTACATTTTCTCCTTCCATTCATATCTGAGAGGCATGTCTTGGGCGTGCCACATGTAAGTGACTGAATAGTCTTAATGAAGCTCTGGCTCTGCATTTAGCACAACAGAACTATTTATACGCAGGCTTCGGCGGCAGCAACTGCTCCAGTGTCTTAGACTAGTCAAGCATGCAGCCACCTGCCTTCATGAGCACCACTGTTGCTAGTGGTTAACTGGGCAGTAGGCAAATGCGAGGGGGGTGAGGACTGACTATGAAGAACTACTGGCAAGAGGGACATTAATGTTTAACCAGGAAAACTGCAAAGGCATATAGGCAAAGCCTCCAGATTTATGTACATACCAAGAAAGTAAGATAATGATGAAACACATTACTTTAACAGGTGCTTATAAACCCATGAGAACTGGTGAACTAGGGCAGGGGAAGACAGGCAGATGGGCTTTCACAATGGAAATCTCCTTTACTAGTTACTTAAGCCAGTCTTCTCTTACTTTAGCCCCAATTGCAGAATGCAATCTTTCCTCTTATTTGCCACTCATCTTTCCTGTCAGGGAGCTGCGGCACAAGGCTTCTTTCCCCAAATGCTCCTTGGCTATCCTCTTAAGGTATTGCTTCCGTTCTCATGTCTGCTACACCTCCTGAAAACATATTCTCCCAATTCTATCACTAGCTGCTTGAAGCAGCTGCTCTACTCTGCCTAGTAGCAGAGCTGGTCCTGGTTCTCATTTTGTCCTATGCGTACTATTTTCTTCCCTTTCTTTTTTTAGTAAGAGTTGCTGGACATTTCATTCTTCCTCCTTCAACTCCTTCTTCCAAGTCTTTGCACTGTTTTCACAAGTTGGATTCTCTGAGTCGAATCCAACTTGTGATTCTCACTCACTCACCATCTTGTCTCTAAAGTAACTGTACATTATCTCTGTGATACCACGAAATGTGCAGCTTGCTTTTTTAGAGCTTACTATTGTTAACATCTATTTTAATTTAGTTATTTTAAACTGACAAGAACCTATTGTAGGACAATTAGCTCCCCCCGCCCCAGCATATCTATAGCCCAATGAATGCAGACACCTACTTCCTGTCTACTTTGTTATCCTTTATGGATCTGGCATGTCCCTTTTTTTTCTTGCTCTAAGACTTTTTGGAACTCCCGTCACAATTAGTCTGCCATTTTAACTGGCCTTTAGTTCTCTTTGTTTTTACTTAAGAGTCACGTTGATGGTATCATTTTTAGTAGCAATTCCCTTTTGGTGATCCAGTGGTGAGTTGGGCTACTAAACTAATGACCAAGTTTGAGCTATAAATTGTGATTTGGCAAATGGAAAAGCCAAAGTAACCTTTGGTTTATGCTACCATTTTTTGTTGTTGTGGAAACGTGGAATATAAAAACCAATAAAAGTCTAAATATAAAAACCAATAAAAGCCAAGCATGCAGGTTTCAATAGCAGTCAATTTACAGCCACACAAAGTTATACCCAGTGCAGATACAGACACAAAACATGTCAAGGATTTACTAGAAGCCAGAATTTTTTGTTTCGAACCTCTAAATTTGATCCTACTAATGAAAGCAGCAAGAGAGAAACTGGTGTTTTGTTATAAATTCTACCACTTGTTGATTGATGTCTCTCCCTGTAGCTGTTTAAAAAGCTAACATTCTATTGATCTCTCAAAACAATTGTTGACAGTAGTGAGGCAGGTTTCACAACTTCAATCCTAACGGACTAGTCAAGTTGATCACACTAAACTAATTCCCAGATGAAACATGGGATCAAAGAGGAACACAACATTAACACTGACAAGTTAGACTTAGGTTGTTCAAGCATGAGTTAAACAGAAATACAGTACAGATTTAATCTGAAACAAGAACAGTAAGAGCACAGACAAAAGAGGTCAAAACAGTGAATGTTAGCAAGTATTCAGATTTAAAAAAAAAAAAATAGAAAAAAAATGCACTAAAACTTCTCCACTGGAGAAATTCCACAAATATGACCACGAGGAAGAACTGCTTCCATGGTTTCTAATAACAAAACTATTCCACCCAACATAAGGCTTCTGTATGCGAACTGCTCATGCAGTAACTTTTATAGCTCCAGTCCTAAATTTATTAACTTCACAACACCATGAAACATTTTCATGAGCATTACCCGTGGACAAATGATTGAGGATGAGGATTGCTTCATATTTCTTACTACTAAACCCGCACACACAATCACCACATTTAGCCAAAACAGACTACAGTGGTGCCTCGACTTACAACACTACTAACCCCCCCCACACACACACAATCACTACATTTAGCCAAAACAGACTACCGTGGTGCCTCGATTTACGACCATAATCTGTTCCAGAAGATGGTCGAAACTCGAAATGGTCGTAAGTCGAAGCACCATTTCCCATAGGAATGCATTGAAACCCCATTAATCTGTTCTGGCCAAAGGGAAAAAAAATCACACACACACCCAAAAAAATCACTGCAAGGCCAGAAACTCACTGGGGGAGTAGAACACTCTTTAAATAACTGACCTTGAAAGCCTGATTATGGTCTCTGTAAGTTGGTTCCTGTTATGGCATGTAACGACAACAGTAGTAAAACAAATCTCCTAATCAGTCTTGTTGACATATTAAAAATATGGATGCATATTAAGAAATAATTTGTTCATTCAAAAGATTAAACTCCAAACACTAAGATATTGGTAAATGAAACCAAGTTGGCAGAGAGCACATACACATTCTTTCACATTTTATTAAATAAAGTTGAAAGAATTTCTGTATTCTCACTATAACCTTTCACATTAAAAAAACCCTAGTTTCTATAATATGGCTGAGCTCTTTTTCTTAAGCAGGCCTCCAACAATGACAAATGTATGGCTAGTCAGGTATACAGAAATATGACTCCAGTATTTCGGAATTTGAGGTATTTTTTCAGCTTTCTTCCAAGTTTTTTTTATCTTTGTGTTACGTACATAAACTGGAATTTTGATGGATGCATTTAAACATTCTTAAGGACACCTGCACTATCCAGTTTCTAAAGTGAGCTATACAAAATTAACCACAACAAATGTTGTACAAATTTACTTTTTTAAAATGCAGTTTGGTTTTCTTATATCAAGAACAATGAACTCTAACATAAGTCTTAAACTTTTCTAGAGGAGGAAGAACTTCTTCATTTCTCAATGAAACGGTTCTCTTGCATGTATTGTTAAAGACAGGTAGGTAGAGATAAAGACAGAACTTTAGGTATAAAGCTTGTTTTGTTACCTTTATATATTAGAAAAAGGAAAATCTTGTCATCATTTAAAACAGAAATAATTTAATCTACTAACTGAATCATTATTTTTAAAATAGACATTGAGATTTAAAAAGAAAAGAATATGGGTTGTTACCATTAATTCTTACTGGCACTTTTTTATTATTTTCTCTTTAAAAACTATTCCTTTTGTTGCTTCAAAATTCTCTTCCCCAATCTGACATTTTCCCCCCAGATAGACTGCAGTGCTTTTGTTACAATGCAGTTGCTAGCTTGAAATAGTTGCCTGAGGCCTTTGGGAACCTCAGAACAGTATGGGAGTCTTTCATATCCAAAAACTAACATCCATGGTCCTCCTGACAGGTTCAGGGCTGTCAGTGAGTAGGGGATAGGATGCTTTAAATTGAAGAAAAACATCCACAGCTGATGATGTCATGACCATTAATGCCCACACAACTCTACTAACAGGATTCCAGTTACTGATTACGTATCCATTTTAAATTTGACTAAATCTATATCCAAGCCATCATTTACAAAACATGCCGGTCTTACTTAAAATCCTGGTTACCTCCAATTTTGAACGCTAACTTTTGAAAGCAAAACTTTTAATTTTCAGCCTTCTATTCATGTCCTGAACTGATTAAGAGTACACAACAGGGAGGTACACTATGCACATGTGAGTGATATATAGCTTACTTGTTACATAAATGCTTCTAATTTTTTTTTAACTGTTTCAGCTGGATTCAGCAAAAATTTTAAATGAAAATTAATTTAGGGGCAACAGTATTTAAATCAGCACATTCAAAATTGTAGCAATCTGAAGCCACCAGACAAATATACGGTACTTAATCATCCTTCAACAAATTCTACTTTCCTTAGTTATGAAATTAAGATAGCAAAGACAGTGTTACATCCACTTACTCCTTTTTCAAATGGTAGCTGTACATCTCTCTTGTTAAATTGGACCTAGGCATTGACATTTTACATACTGTGCTTCTTTTATCTCTTGATTTGCCATTTCTACCATATATTCACAACAAGAGTAGTGAAACTGTATCTCTTCCACATGCCATCAGTCTCACCAAAGTTGGCCAGTGGTCAAGGATGATGGGACCATAACCCATACATACTCTGATTGCATGTATGTTGTTGTTGTTTATGTCAGTGGTCCCCAACCTTGGGCTTCCAAGTGGTCAAGTGGGACCATAACCCAACAGTGACTCTGATTGCATGTATGCATGCTATGTTGTTGTTTATGAATATACATATATTGTGCACAACTAGAGAGCATGTGTTGCCTACAGAAATATTCCATGAATCTCCTGCTAGGAACACAAAGCTTACTGGGCAACCCTGAGTCAATCACTCCTTCTGCCTAAACCATCTCTCAGGATGAGTGTGATGATATACATGTATTGTGCATAACTAGAGAGCATGTGTTGCCTACAGAAATATTCCATGAATCTCCTGCTAGGAACACAAAGCTTACTGGGCAACCCTGAGTCAATCACTCCTTCTGCCTAAACCATCTCTCAGGATGAGTGTGATGACAAAAGGAGAACTGTTATGCTTCCCTGAGCAATGAGAAAGAAAGGCAAGATAAACATGTAGTAATCAGCTAAAAATAACATTCAGCACATGAAATGTATTTGAGATTATGCTCGCTTATACTGTGCTAATTTTACTGACTGGAATCCAGGATCTCCATGCATGAAAATTGTCTTCACCCAATATTCAGAGATCTTCCACTGAGTCCTGAACTGTAATTACCTCCTTCAGCAGAGTTCCCCAAATCCCTGTGTAGCATTTTCAACAGGCTGGAAAGGGTAGAAAGTCCTCTTTGGTCAGCCAAGTTGCACATACTGTACTAAATCTCTA